AAGCAAAACAGTAATATTGGAATGTACCTAAAATGCTCATTGTTTTGTTTTCTGGCTAGATGTCTGACACCGTTTTCCCCGGATCAATGAATCAATGTTCGGTTTTATTTCTTGGGCTGTAGCAACCCGCAAAACAGCATGGAGGTTGTCATCGGTAATGCGTGATCTGTGCTTGTTTTTGTTCAGATTCATTATTGAAAACAACTGTTCACAAAGATAGGTGCTCCCGAACATAGAATACGGGCAGCATGAAGTCGGAGCTCTGGCATTGAGTCAGGGAGCAGTAGAGGGTAGAAGTCCTAAATTTCAACATCCTGAAACCTTGATTTCAGGCCACTGTCAGACTGAAGCTCGATTATCTCCATCTGAAGGTGATGGGGCACATTGTTGACATCAACTGTAAAAGGATTGGCAAAGATGTCAAAGCCTGAGTGCTGTGTTCTAACGTCAGAGAAGCGCCGCTCAAATTCACTTAGTAAACGGCTAACTTTGGTAGCCAGCCGACTGCAAGGAAAAGTACCAGAAATAGTGGTTGAGATACTCAAACAAACGGGAAAGTGGGCAAGATTGTCCTGTTCCAGTTGGGACTTCCATAGTTGAAGTTTACTCTGGAATGCTGTGATCATGTCAGACATCTTCGTGATGACTTGTTTGCGTCCCTGCAGCTTCAGATTCAGTTGGGCGAGATGCTCGCATATGTCACACATCATAGCAAAATCAAATAGCCAGGCGGGATCCGACAGTTCAGGCAAGGGCTTTCCTTTACTTTCCATGAAAAGAGCAATTTGTTCTCTGAGCTCAAAAAATCTTCTGAGGACTGCGCTCTTGCTCAGCCATCTTACTTCTGTGTGGTATGGCACGTCTCCATGCTCTGCACCCACCTCCTGTAAAAACTGCTGGAACTGGCGATGATTCAGGCCACGTGCCAGTATAAAGTTAATAGTTTTAATGACTGTGGTCATTATGTCATTCATGTCCAGAACTTTTCCACATATAGCCTCTTGGTGGATAATGCAATGATAAGTAATCAAGGGTGTGTGGCAGTGACTTTTTTGCATTCTTTCCTTCATTAGTCCAACCAAGCCTTTCTTTTCTCCGCACATTGAAGGTGTGCCATCAGTAGTTAGCCCCACCAACTTTTCCCAGGGTAATTTAAAATTATTTATAGATTTCTCCACAGCCTCAAATATATCTCTACCAGTCGTCGTCCCATGCATGGCAGCTACATCCAAAAGTTCCTCAGTGACAGAGAGGTCGGTCTTCGTAACACGTATAAAGATGGACAGCTGCGCTGTATCAGTGTTGTCTGTGCTTTCATCGATAGCAAGTGAAAAAGCGAGATAACTGCATGCCTGTTCGGCCAGCTGTGATGACAGATTTCCTGAGAGTTCTTGAACTCTATCTGCAATGGTGTTTCTTGACAAACTGACATTTTGAAAACTCTGTATCTGGTCTGGACATACTTGCTCACACACTTTTAGCATGCATTGCTTCAAAAAGGCACCCTCTGAAAAACACCTTGAAGTACGGGCAATTTCTTCAGCCACTGTAAAGCTTGCTTTCACTGCAGCATCATTTTTCGCTGTAGCCTTTGTAAACATTTGCTGCTGTGATTGTAGTTTGCCTTTTAGTTCTTTAACAATTTTATGCTTTTCTTCCAAAGTATATTTGCCATACTTAACATTATGTTTGGTGTCAAAATGACGACGTATATTGTACTCTTTCATCACCGACACTGTCTCATAACACAATATACACACTGGTTTGCCCTCTCTAAGCACAAACATGTATTCATTTTCCCATTTGTCATTAAATTGTCTGCCTTCACCGTCAACTTTTCTTTTCCTGGACATTTTGGAATCAATATTGGCAGTAAAAGATGTAGTTTATTGGAAATCTGCATTAGAAGGAAAAAGTTGAAAACTGCACAGGGATAGCTTGATTTGGCAGATGGAGTGGAGAAAAAAAAAGTCAGTCAATAAATGCCTGGCTGGGTACAGATAGCAGATTCTGTTGCAATTTTTATGCCTGCACTTTATGCCAGGAACTGGCAGCTTCTGCTGTGTATTTTTTATGCCCGCACACTCACTCTCTCCTCTGCTCTGCCACCCGCACAACCACATCGGATGCCGGACTATAGGTCACGCCTCCTGAATCTCGCGTGACTTGTTATCTATGCGCATGTGTAATAGATAGCAAGTACGGCGGCGCCGGCGAGGCGGCCAGCGAGATCACAAGCCTCCTATGTCACCGCGCGTCATTGTGATGGAACGCAGCGGAGTGCAGTGATGACAGCGCGGTTCGGGCCACATTGCAAGGCCTGGCGGGCCGGATTTGGCCCGAGGGGCCTTGTGTTTGACATGTGTGATATAGAAGTTGAATAAAACTACTGTTATAGCCTTGGCAGCACAGGTTATGCCTATAGAGACCCTGCAGAGGAGGCCATAGTCATTGGACCACCAGAGGTAAGGGGCCGGAGGGTGTAAAGTGAGGAAGAGGGAAAAGGAAAGAAGGGGAATTTTGGGAATGGGAAGGGAAGTGGGAGAAAGGAAAAACAGTAATTATAGTGATTTAAAGAAATTTGAGGCCAAAAGAGAAATACGTATATAGGTTAAAAATACATATATGTAAATAAGCTGTCCTGAACAACTCAAAACTGAAAATGGAGTTGTGATTTCTTAACCAGAAAGTTAAAGAGTCACAGGATTTGTTAAATTGGAAAAGGCCTTAGCACATTTTCAGTCTTACTCTTCCTACCTAGCATTGTCAGGGAATGCACTCAACATCAGAGAAATATAAGAGAAGCTTCAAATCCAGAAAGTCTTAAAAAAAAAACACAAAAAAACACACATGTTAATCTTAGAAATCAACTTCACTCAACGAATTTGTAGAGAAATAGCAGCTAATATATGTAAATTCACTTTTATAAAATGTATAAATTGTAAAATTTTAAACTTATAAATATATGTTATCTAATAAAAGAGTAATATGCAAATTGACCATACCTCTACTACACTCACAAGCCACGCCCACCAACCATGTCCACCAGCCAATCAGAGTATGCAAATTAATCCCAACCAAGATGGCTGCAGCCTCAGAGAGCAGGAGGGAGGCTTGGGTTTCCCTGGCAATGGAAGAAATCAAGCTTTCCGCCTGCCCTCACTGGCCTAGGCCTCCACTCAAGGCTACAAAGTTTCAATTATAGAAGGTAAACAAATAAACAGAAATGGCTACAGCCACAGAGCAAGCAGAAGGCTTGGCTCCACTACAGACTACAAAGTTTCAATTATAGAAGGTAAATAAATTCCAGATACCAGGGCCTTGGCTTGGGTTGCCAGGGGGCGTGGCTGGCCTGTAAACCACCACAGGCCCCTCACTCAGGTCAGCCCATGCCCTAAGGGAACCCCTACCCTGATCTGGGACATCCTTCAGAGAAAACCAGCTGGCCCTTACCCGTGCACCAGGCCTCTATCCTATCTGATAAAAGCGTAATATGCAGATTGACCATCATTCCAACACACAAGATCAAGATAGCTGCTCCCATGTGGTCAAAGATCCTGTCCCTATGTGAACACAAGATGGCTACCACAAGATGGCCAGCAGGGTAGGGCAGTTGAGAGGGACCATGCCTGCAAGGAAAGGTAGTTGTGGGTGATCAGGCAAGCAAGGGAGGGAAGTTGGGAGTAATCAACCCTGCAAGGGAGGGTAGTTGGGGGCAATCAACCCTGCAAGGGAGGGCAGTTAGAGGGTTACCAGGCTGGGAGAGGAGGGAAGTTGGGGGAAAACATGCTGGCAGGGGAGCAGTTAGACATCAATCTGGCTGGCATGGGAGTGGTTAGGGGGTGATCAGGCTGGCAAGCAGAAGAGGTTAGGGGCAATCAGGAAGGCAGGCAGGCAAGCAGTTGGGAGCCAGCAATCCTCAAGGGGTCCCAGATTGGAGAGGGTGCAGGAGTGGGTGCAGGCTGGACTGAGGGATACCACCACTCCCTCCCCCACCCCCCATGCATGAATTTCATGCACTGGGCTTCTAGTAAATTAATAATTGCATAAATGGTTCACTATAATATATAACTGTCAGAGTCCCTGAATTATACAGTTCTAATAAACTGCCTGCCTCATTGTATCATTTAAAGTTGTTTCAGCAAGTGTGTTTTCTTACTTGTTAATTTATTGATTTAATTTATATTTAAATATTATTTAACTTACTATTGTTAATTTTATTTTGAACTATTGTCATTTCTGTGTACTGCAATCCAAGTCAATTCTAAAAACTATTTTCAAAAAGTTACATGTTTCCCTAATAATGTAGTGTGCTGGAAAACATTTTCTTTCTTTGAAATTCCATAATTAACCCATCCTACTTTATATTCATGTTCTGTGAATCATTTTAGTAGCTAATAATATTTTTTTCAGAAAACTGGAGTTTTTTTAATGAATATTTCAAAATGTTTAATTTGGTAAATACTGTGGACATTTTTCTTTTAAAATACAAATTAAAGACATTAAAGGGAGAGAGAGAAACACACCCTCTACTGGGCATCCAGCCCACAACTGGGCATGTGCCCTGAGGGGAATCAAATCTTGACCTCCTGGTTCATAAGTTGCCACTAAACCACTGAGCCACATCGGCCAGGGCTGAGCTGAATTTTTAATGTAAGATGGACTAAAGTTGTCTGCATTCAATTCTAACTTCAAAATCCTATTATTCTTCAATTCATATTTTATAAGAAAAGTCAGCAGAAATGTAGAAGGCAACAACCAGACATTCATTTTATAAATAACTTTGCATCTGCAGAGCTCTTTCTTTAAAACATGTCACTGATTTTCAGAGACAAGGGCAATCCATTTTCAATGAAGACTCCCCTCAGTTCTTCTGATAAATTTGTATTTCTTGACTCATAACAGCAAAATTGTCCATAATGAAAATTAAGACATTTTAAATTACATATTCAGTCAAAATCTAACAAATTTTCACGAAACAGTAAGCATTAAGCACTTACTTTTACTTGAAGATCCTCAGAGCTTTCTGATGACATATACAAAGAAAGCAGCACTGGCAGAGTGTGTGCGACTGTGACGGCCCGTATATGCTCTGGAGTGTGTCTCCCAATCTGTGCTATGGTCCAGGCCGTGGCAGCCCTAACGTGATCTTCTGGTTCTTCTGACAAGCAGACTGACAACTGGGGCACACCCTGCAGGGTTGATCAAAAGAGCAAGTGCTATGAATCCAGTGCAGGAGTAAATAGTCTCCCAAACATTAGAAGAAATCATTTGGTCTTGATCCTTTTTTCCTAGATGGTTCAATAAATGAGCACAGCACAGGGGCTGTCATTTTTCAAGTCAATAAAATGACTAGAACTAATTTGCGATAGTTATCTGTTAAAATCCAACTAAAACTGTATCTGCTAGTATTTACTCCCCAAATACAGAAGCATTTAACCAAACAACAGAAGCCACAGATTAGTATGTAGGTAAAACCAGATTCCATGGGACAAATTTTAAATGCTCAAATTTTTAAAAAAAATATATATTTATTGATTTTTTTACAGAGAGGAAGGGAGAGGGATAGAGAGCTATTGTAGAAACATCGACCAGCTGCCTCCTGCACACCCCCTACTGGGGATGTGCCCGCAACCAATGTACATGCCCCTGACCGGAATCGAACCTGGGACCTTTCAGTCCGCAGACCGATGCTCTATCTAGGGGTGTTGAACTCAATCAGAGAAGGGGCCAAAATCTAAAATCCAGCCTAAATCGCGGGCCGAATGGTTTACTGAACAGTCATAAACTGTCATTGTGATAGAAACGCAGCGGAGTGCAGTGATGACAGCGCGGTGCAGGCCACATTGCAAGGCCTGGCGGGACGAATTTGGCCCGTGGGCCTTGTGTTTGACACATGTGCGAGTCTATCCACTGAGCCAAACCAGTTTCGGCAAATGCTCACATTTTAACTTTGTTAAAAAGTTAATTTAGAATACTTTAAAATTGCCTTTTCACTAAGTAAAATCAATCTGACAACAAAATAGCTACTGGAGATTTGAAATCAATAATAATATGAGCCAGAATTCTATTTAAGTAATGTTTAGATAAACTATATTCACTAAAACCTTTTCTAAACTAGTAATTAAATTTCCATTAATTGCCAGGACCGGTTTGGCTCAGTGGTAGAGCGTTGGCCTGCAGACTGAAGGGTCCCGGGATCGATTCCGGTCAAGGGCATGTACCTTGGTTGCAGGCACATCCCCAGTAGGGGGTGTGCAAGAGGTAGCTAATCGATAATTCTCTCTCATTGATGTTTCTAGCTCTCTATCCCTCTCTCCTCCTCTCTGTGAAAAATCAATAAAATATATTTTTTTAAAAATAAAAAATAAAATAAATTTCCATTAATCCTGGTCAACTTTTAAGTGATAGTTTTGCCCATTTTAACACGGTTGTCAAAATAGAAAAGATTACTTTTGTTACATAGATAGTACACGCTTGTATTTTGTGCTTTAGACTTCAGTTTTATCTAAATAAAACAGAATTAATTAAAGGGCCTCAAATACATCTGTTTCTATATCTAAGGAAGAATCAAATTGCCAAATCAAATTATTCCAGATTCTGTATAGAAATAACTTTCTAACTAATTTGAGACTATCATAATTATCACCTTTTAGTACCACTAAAGTCAAGATCACATTGCTATGCTACTATAGCAAAGTCTAAATGATCATATACACTTTTTTCCCTGTGACTTTAAATTTGGTTATTAAGCCAAAACCGGTTTGGCTCAATGGATAGAGCATCGGCTTGGGGACTGAAGGGTCCCGGGTTCGATTCCGGTCAAGAGCATGTACCTTGGTTGCGGGCATTTCCCCAGTAGGGGGTGTGCAAGAGGCAGCTGATCGATGACTCTCTCTCATCGATGTTTCTAACTCTCTATCTCTCTCCCTTCCTTTCTGTACAAAATTAATAAAATATATTTTTTAAAAATAAATAAAAAATAAATAAATTTGGTTATTAAAACCAATTTCCTAAAGATACCCGCCATATTTCTTTACTGACTTCTTTTTTTCCAACTAAAAATCTTTGTCTGCCAATACAAAAGGTCAGACTTGTCTTCAGAATGAGGAAAAGTTCATCCTGAGACATATTAAGACTGAAGAAGCAGAAGGAAAAGAGATCAGCCCTCTCCACCCCACCCTCACTTATTACGAACAGCAAACGAGATAAGAAGCAAGAATGTGATTTGAAAATTACAAAATATTATTTAAATGTGAAGTATTAGTCTTTAGAGTACTATGTAGGACAAAGACACAGAACTGTGCAGTTTGACTCAAACTGCTGCTGCCACCTTCATCTTCAGCTGACTGAGACCAGGTGGGAGAGGCCAGCAGCCCCTCAACAAAGGAGGGGGCGCCCCCTGGTTAGTTTGGGGAGGAAAAAAAGGAAACAAAAGCAATTGCTGCTTCTTTCATCATTTTTTCTTTGTATCAGCTTTCTGCCGATCCAAAAAAACCAAGGATAAAAAATCCCAGTAATATCCCCACAGTGACTCTTCAGAAAGCAGCATTCATGTTCTAGTCACTATAATAGTCTTTGGTAATAGAACAAAAGGAAAAGCGTAGGATAAAAAGTGAGCAAAGCAAAGAATTATCAAGGAATAGGTAGAAAATAAAAATCTGAGGCTCCCTTTTAGTCTGAGGATTAGCAAGGGCTAAAAAAAATCCACACTTCTGTTTAACACACAGCAGCAGGCTTTCTATGCTGATAAGAAACCCACGCCCTAGAGGGTTGGTGGAGACACTGTAAGCACACAGCCCTGAAGTGCTCCTCAGAAGATTAACATTTATTCATTCAATCAATATTTCTGAGCACCTACTATGTATCAGGGCTACACTGTATGGTGGGTTAATACCAAGTTATAAATAGAAATGAGGCCAAATTCCTAGAGCAAGGACACAAAACATCATTGTCTGACATGTGCTCTGAATTGCCTTCATCTAAAAAGAGAAAGTTAGTTCATGAAGGACAGTGGATAAGAAGGGATGTCCTTGCCATTGCCATCTCCTTCCCACATGACCGATAAGGGGAGAATGATCACTGGGCATATAATTTGTAACAGTTGTCTTTAATCAAAGTATGCTTTACATATTTGTAAACATTTAGTCAGTCCTTCAGGATACAAATGCACTGAATATTTCAATACAGGCAATACCAATACTCAGAGGTATGGATATTTTGTAGATATTATCGTGTTTCCCTGAAAATAAGACATCCTCCAAAAATAAAACCTACTTACAGGTTTCCTTTTGAGTGAAATATAAGGCATCCCTCTGAAAATAAGGCCCCCCCCCCCCCAGGCTAAAACATGAGAGATTTGGTGCACTGATTCTGAAAGAAATGGAGTCACAAGAAATTCACCAGGAAATTCAGGAATTGGATTGTTATGATGACGTTCCAGAAGATGATGACATGATTGTCATTGAATAAATAAGTAAATTCTTGATACTGTAGGATTCACAGTTTGTCTGGTTTGTGTTGAGAACTACTGTACTACCGTACCATATACAGGTAATAAATTTCCTTTATTTTTCTTTAACAATAAATGTGTACCATATTCTTCTTCATGGAAAAATAAGACATCCCCTGAAAATAAGACCTAGCGCATCTTTGGGAGCAAAAATTCATATAAGACACTGTCTTATTTTTAGGGAAACAGGGTAAATACTGAGTAAAACTTTAAACTGCTTACAAAGTAAACCTTACTTTAAGCATTGCTTTTAGAAACTTACTAATAAGTTTTAAAAACGGGCTGAAAAATTCTTCAGGTTCCTTTCATTCTAGTCAGTTACATTTTATAATCTACTAGTGACCCTATACACAAAATTCATGCACATTAAAAGGGAATTAATTAGAAGAAATATTTTAATATTACTATTTGCCCTTTCTCTATAATAGAAGTGTCAGAGATGAAAGAAAATTAGTAAAATATATACGAAAATCTTCCTCCTGTCAGAGTCTGGGGCATGCCATGGGAACCAGAGTCAAGTTCCTGCCCACCCACATGTGCCTCAAAATCACGCAAGACCCACACACAGCCGGCCTCAACCACATTGATCTAGATCTAGACCCAGCCGGCCCCACCCCTGTCAAGCCCCACCAGATGGGGAGCACAGCCACAGGTCACCTAGTCTGGCGCCAGAGCAAGGTGCGTGGCCTGAGGTTCCCCGGCCTGGGTTGGGGCAGAGGCCACACCTTGAGATCCCCATCAAGCCTCACATGGCAGGGGGCATGGCCTGAGGTCCCCCATCAAGCCCTGCCAGGCAGGCGGGCACAGCCTAGGACCCCTGCCCCAGCCCAGCACCACAGCCTCAGGTCCCTGCTGATTGCTCATTAAGGCTTGTTTTAAGAACTCGGCCTTCATGTGGGCACAGCCATCTTGTTACAGTGTGATAGTCAATTTGCATATTCCCTCTTTATTAGATAGGATGGGAGAGTATTACTATTGTTCTATCTTAGAATATCTCACTGCAATTGCTAGAAGAAAATCAAGTAAGAACAAACCTTGCTAATGATCATGGCCATTGCCAGGTTCTCAGAATGAGCCACCACATAGCCAAGCTTCATGATGCCTTATGTTTTCAAGATCCAATGCAGTCAATCATGGCGGCAACTCCTCCTGCATTCACTGTCAAATGCGAAAACTAAAGGAAAGGAAAGAAAGCGCGGTAATTGTGACAGTAAAGCATAAGATTATCTTTAAACATGACTTTAATATTGCCAAACATTTTTATTTAGGATCTAAAAACACCTGGTGAAATTTGAAATATGATTTAGTGAAATTATTCTACTTATTAAAGAAATATACAAGTATAATAATCCTATTCTGAATGTACAAATATACTCCCTGTACAGAGCTTACTCTGTGCTTCAATTTTCATGCAGCCATGGCACAACTTTTATCCTTACTCTAATAGATGTCAAAATTCCTCACCTAGACACTGAGCCTAGGGCTAGTTCATAACTAGCTAACTACTGAAAGCCCCAATCACAATTGTGAGTATGAAGCAGATTACTCACTGAATGCTGAACGACAATGTCAGACTTGAAGTATCCTAGCCTAATTATCCCCTTTTGCGAACAATGGTTACTAGCTATTTACACTTCAAACATACAAAATCTCAAGAAGTTAGGTGAAATAAAGAATGAGGACTTTAAACTTCAGTGAAATGAAATTGATTAGTCATGATATACACAGGAAAAAGATGCAACTGCAGAATTTACCCTATTCCTTTGGCATCTAAGAACTCAGAGCGGGAACCACCACGTTAGAGCAGCTGCTAGAGTAGTCACACTAGGCTGGGGGCCTGCTGGTCTCTCACACCTGGAACTGGACACCCTCTTGCTGATCCCAGCTGACCTAAAACGATAAGAATAGCAAAGGTCTACAGCCCCCACAATCTAGAAATGGAAAGCAGGAAACTATATATTAGAAACTGAGTTTTCTGTCTCAAACTCCATTGATATAACCCAGAAAGGCTCTCAACAAGGGACACTTTTGTCCCCTGAGACATATTTGGCAACATATGGAGACACTTTTGACTGTCACAGTGAAAAAAGATGTTACTGGAAGGGGCCAAGGATGCTGCTAAACATCCACCCTACAGTGTGCAGGACAGTCCCCCACAACAAGGAATTATCTAGTCCGAATGTGCACAGCGCTCGCATGAGAAGCCCTGACCTAGCCCAGTCGTGAGGCACAACACCTGGGCCTCGTATACAAACTGATGTTTTACTTTACAATGAGAACTAACTAATATTATCGTGTTTAAAAAGCTTTTTATTTTTACCGTGGCTGTATGTTGTACAATCTTTTAAATTAAAAACAGAAGCATTTTTCTTCACATATTCATCTTTGTCCTGCAGGCAGGTAGGTACAAATGGAAAAACCTCTACTTCAGCCACCATTTCGGCCAGGCCCACAGACTATTTTGCAACCTGAGAGTGGAAAGGACCTGAGGCTGTCAAGCAAAAACCGAAATAAAGCAAAGCATCAATAGAGTCCACTGCACAGATCAGATATAATTTAAATAGCTTAATATAGTCAAATTCCTTTAAAAGAAGGAAAAACAATTACATATGTAACATCACTTAAGATTTCTGAGTTTTGAGACATTCTTATCCTAACCTTATACCTAAATACTGAATTTCTTAAATTCCCTACTTTCCAAATTAAATGTTTTAGTTTTCTGTGGACTATTTAAATTTCTATCACAAATAATCAAAGAATGTGACTCTGAGTAAATAGTATTACTTAATTATGTAATACTTCAATTGTTAATTTACAATACATGTGACAATATAGTACAAAAAAGATCAGGCAGAATGAACATCTTATTTTTGTCATGAGGCTGTAACATTTCAAAGAACTTTTCATGTATGCTTAGTTAACATTAACAATTTTAAAACTTATAGGATATAACAAATTGTTAGCATACAAAAGTATAATTGGTGACTATTAACTGAAAATCAGATTTTTAAAAATCTATAAAAAAAAAGACAAACACAAATATGACAATTTTCATAAGAAATTTAAATATAATTAGTGGTGAGTTAGAAAACCTTTAGATGACTTCCCACCCTGATTGAGATTCAATCATTAATTTTGATTCCTTATTTTAGCAATTAATGTTAGTACTAATGCTATTTCTAATTTTTAGCATTGCACATATTTTCCCCAGGCATGTCTTTATTATATAATTCTTACAGCATAATTTCCACAAGACTAAATACATAATATAATCACATCTATTTTCAATAATAATTTATAAATTATTTTTGAAAATATATTTAACCATACACATTTTCTATTAGATTAACAGAAATCTGTTTTTTAACTTGTTTTTAAATACCTTTATTTAGCAGCAGGGTTCAGAATCATCTGGGCTAAGTGAGCAATAGCTCCTGCATCCACTACTGTCAGTGCTAACTCGGGAGAATGCTTTGAAATATCACTGAGGTCCAAAGCAGCAATCCTTTTCAAAGCAATTTCTGGTTCCTGGATACAAAGTACTAACAGAGGAACTGCTCCACATCCACCACAGCTTGTGACAGTTCTGTGGGTCCAAGAAAAGTAATTAAGTGAGTATGGGTGACTGACCCTTGTGCAAGCCATTTTTCTCCCTGACAGATACAGCAAAGAAAAAAAGGGGAGGGTACTTCACTGTCTTGACATCTGCATTTCAAATCAGCCTTCCTGGTTGCATAAACCATGTGGACCAATCCTGAGCTGAAAAGAATGCAGGTCAATAGATGGACCTCCATTTACATGAACACATTTGAGGTAGATTAAGCTGAAATGGCTTGTTATTTTTTTTTTTTTTAAGAGAGTAAGCAGATGTCAGCTGTTTAAGCTCTGACAATTCTGCACTTCTTTATATGCATGGTTTACAATAACAGAAAATTAAAGTACCAAAAATTTACTAACCACACTAATTAGGCAGTATTTTGCACTATTTACATGAGTAAACATTAACATGAATCTTGTGCTAATAATGTCGAGTTTTAAATTCCATTCATCTTATAGTATTTTTAAAAGAGTTTTTAAAAATATTACATAAAATAAAAAGCTGCATTTTTATTGTACATATAAAAACAGTTTTAAAATGAGATCTATGACTAAGTAGCATACTTTAATATATATAAATATTGATGTTAAGATATTTATCTTAACCATTTTACTTGCCAGAAACAAACATCTTTTGAATTTACACATTGATTTACTTGTGTGTCCAAGAATAACAGCTATAAAAATAACACATTTTAAATTTTAGATAATGAGAGAAAGGCAGACCCATATAATATGTATGTAAAAAAAATCTTTTGAGATGTATAAAGCACAATACATACTTACAATATTCTACTTTCATTGTATTCGTGGCCTCCCTTACTTAATCACAGATACCCATATCTATAATCTCTTTTTTTCAAATAATGTTCTGATTTTTCCACATTTTTAGTGCCCTGACAATTTATGTCTTAACTAGAGGCTTGGTGCATGAAAATTTATGCACTGGAGGGAGGGTCCCTCATCCCGGCCTGCCCCCACTCATAGTCTGGGAGCCTTCACGGTTGAGAGGCAACCTGACGATCAGGGGAAGGCAATGCCCCATCACACCTCTGCTGCTGCCGCTGCTGGCAGCACAAGCCTTGGCTGACCCTGGGTACCTGAGCCTCAAGTGGCCCTGGGTGGGTTGGCAGCTACCATCCAAGGATTTCCTGTGCCTCAGGCTGGCCCTGGATGGCTGAGCAGCCACCATCTAAGGCAGGGGTCCTCAAACTTTTTAAAGTGGGGGCCAGATCACCGTCCCTCAGAGAGCTGGAGGGCCGGACTATATGAACTACTAACTCCTACTGTAACACCTCGGCTGCGCTCACTGCCCAAAAAACCTGGCGGGCCGGATCAGACTCCTCTGCGGGCCGCATGTGGCCCGAGGGCTGTAGTTTGAAGACGCCTGATCTAAGGCTTGCTTGCCCTCTAGCTGGCCCTGGGCAGCTGGGGGGCTGAAAGGACTGGGGGACTCGGGAGGCAGGCACAAAAAGTGGCCAGGCCCTCCTGAAGGCGGGCCTGGCCTTGTCGAGCATCTGCCGCCCCTGCAGGGCTGAGAGGAGTGGGCATTGCCATCTTGTGGCTGTGGGCACTGCCATCTTTGAGGATGCGGCAGTCAATTAGCATATTCCCTCCTTATTGGCTGTGAGCGCTGCCATCTTTGCAACAGTGGGAGGGTCAATTAGCAAATTCCCTCTTTATTAGATAGGATAGCCATACTATCATTTAGCATATCACTTAAGATCTTCAAAAAATATATGGTGCTTAATTTTTCAAAAGATGGGTACTATCTATCACATTTTCTAAAAGGAAACAATGCTAGAAAATACAGGTTAGTATCCAATATTTGTTTTTCTTAAGTCATTACAATTAACTTAGAAGTCCAAATATTGTATAAAGCATTCATTCTTTCAATAAACAAGTATTAATGAAAGGTCATTATGTGCCAAATGCTTTCAATGCTAGTGTAGATGACAGACTTCTACAAATTAACCCTACATTGATTAGCAAATATGTTTCAATTTTTAAAATCTAGTGTGAAACATGAAATACAATGAGAAGTCAATATATAATATCAAGAACCAGAAGCAGATAAGAGAAAAATGTTTCTTTAAAAAAAAGTTTTTTAAAACTTTTTAAAGCTACAACAAACTGAAATATCAACCTAGTACTGGAACATTCCCCAGAAGTATCTCTCTGATTCCGCTGCAATGGCATGAAGACCAGTAAGACAGCAGGTGAAACAGGTGATCACTGTTTCTCTCTTCCCCCCGCCTAGAGAAAATGGAAATAAACATAAAGTGTGATATTATATGTAATTTCTAGATATAATTTTCATATTTTATGTTAATTATTAACATGTTAATTCAATTTCATCTAAATTTTAGAGTTGTTGTAATACCAGCTTTATTTTATATATTTGAGGGCACCTAGGATATATATATATAATGGGCTGAACATTTATTTCAAGAGGGTATAAGGATTTGTTCATCTATTTATGTATTTTCACTTTTGGAGGAGTTCCAGATGTTATTAGTAGACATGTTCATGTTCAGCAAAGAGACAGTGTTTCCTCCTGTGTATCTCTGTTTATGACTGAGGAAAACTTCTTACAGATGCTTTTAGCTGATTTCTATTCAGGTCCCATTGGCCACTATTGGTTCATGTCTACTAATTGGAACATGTCTACTAATAACATCTGGAACTCCTCCTACATAGTTTCAGAGTCAAGAAAATGCAGTAGACTACAACTGTTTAAAAGTACTATTAATAAAATTTAAGGTTCTTTAAAAAAATCCATTATCTTTGTAATCCCCACACATTTTATTCTTTTTTTTTAATGTATTGATTTTAGAGAGAGAAATATCAATTTGTTCCACTTATCTATGCATTCATTGGTCAATTCTTGTATGTGCCCTGACCAGGAATCGTACCTATAACCTTGGTGTATCGAGATAACACTCTAACCAACTCAGCTACCCAGCCAGGGCTATCCTTTTCTTTCTTTTTTAATCCTCACCCAAGGACATGCATGGACAGAGGAAAGGAACTAGAGAGAGATCGATGTGAGAAAGAAACATTGATCAGCTGCCCTCAGTATGCTCCCCAACTCAGGGTCAAACCCACAACCCAGATATGTGTCCTGATTGGGAATCTAACTGGCAACACTTTGGTGCACCAGAAGACGCTCAACCAACTAAGCCACTCTGGCTGGGCCTTATCCTTTTCTTAAATAACAAAATGCCATATCATCTTTTACCTGAACTCTATAAAGTTAATAAAAAGGCAAACTATGTTCTTTTAACTCGTTACCCAATTCCATCCTACACTGTCCTCTGTTCTCTCTAGAGTAGTGATGTTACATGTGGGGTATATCATTGAAGAAAGATTTACCATGAAAGTAAGGAAGCATTCAATGACCTGATTGGGGCTAGTAATTTTGCACTTGTGATTTCCTATAATTTACATCTCCAAATTTAGACAATTCTACAAAACTGCTATCTGCAAAATGCCCACCCTACTATACCACAGGCTTTTTCAACCTGCCTCCTATCACTATTCTTTCTTCTATGGCATATCTTTCTCCTCTTTCTCACTATTGCTGCCTCTGGCATTTCGGTGTCAGTGGCTGTTGGTATCTACCCAACAGCCTTTGTCAGTCAAGGCATGGGCTTATGAACCAATAGTGGCCAATGGGACCTGAATAGAAATCAGCTAAAAGCATCTGTAAGAAGTTTTCCTCAGTCATAAACAGAGATACACAGGAGGAAACACTGTCTCTTTGCTGAATATGAACATGTCTACTAATAACATCTGGAACTCCTCCATCCATCTTGCAACTATAATGAAAGAAATGACCAATATGCCGAGGATGGCTGAGTACAACAATGAAAAACACCTGGGTCCTTCATGACACTGTTCAGCTGCATAACCAAACTTGGAGCTGCCCTGATTCTGAACTTTTGTCATGTGCAATAAAAAATGTCCTTATTGTTTGAGCTACTTGTAGTTGATAATTCTGTAACTTACAGCCAAAAGCATCCTCATGTAATTTTGTCTTGTTTTGTATTTAGTGTAAGTGCATATTTTCCTCTCTTCCTTTAGTCCCTGAGTGTTTGTTAAGTGCTTACTATGTGCTAGAAACTTAACCAGATGTTGAGGAAGCAGAATATAGAGTAAAACATTATCTGTTCTAGAAGTCTCTGCCAAGTGCTCAGAAAAAAAAAAAAAGCAGTGACCCAATAAATTTATCTGAAAATATTTTAGCCTCATTTTAAATTTTAAGCGAATCTTCAAAAAGTATTTTTTTAAATCCTCACACAAGAATATGTTTAATATGTTTTACAAATTTCAGAGAAAAGGGGAAGAGAGGGAGGAAGATAAAGAGAAACATTGATGTATGAGAGAAGCATCATGCAGTTGCCTCCTGTATGTTTGTTCCCCTACCAGGAATTGAACCCACAACCTAAGTTGTGCCCTTACTGGAAATCGCACTGGCAACCTTTTGGTGCTCAGAATAACGCTCCAACCAACTAAGCAATACCAGCCATGGCAAAAAAAAAAAAAAAAAAAAAAAAAAAAAAAAAAGACTAATTTTTAAAAATTACATCTTCTGCCTAGCCAGACTGGCTCAGTAGATGGGCGTCGACCTATGAACCAGAGATCAGTGTTCAATTCCTAATCAGAGCACATGCCTGGGTTGTGGGCTTGCTCCCAGCGTGGAGCATGCAGGAGACAGCCAATTAATGATTCTCTCTCATCGATGTTTTTATCTCTCTCTCCCTCTCTCTTCTCTGAAATCAATAAAAATATATTTTTTAAAAAATTTAAATTACACCTTCTATTGTACAATAACAACTGACATAGTCATATATTATTAATAACAAACAAGATTAGTAGTAGTTATGCAAAGAAAAATGCAGAGAGAAAAAAGCTATATGTTATATCAACATACTACAATATTTACACTGGGTTGATGGTATTATTGGGAATATATTTTTCTTCTCT